CTGGGCATTAGGTTAGGTTAAGGCCTGAATATGACGCCTCACTTGGAATATCTCACAGGTATTCCAATGTCCAAGCAATGAGCGATCTAAATGGGGGCTGCAAAAAAAAAAAAAAAAAGCAGTTAAGTAAAGATAAAAACAAAAACACAAACTTTCAATAATATTACATTGTTTTGTTTCAGCGTGCTCTGGGCAGAATTAATCCTTTCTGAAAATTTGGGAGGCCTTGTGTAAGTGTTTGATAATGTCGTGCTGGAAAAGCAAATATGTTAATTAACATTATATTGAAACAAGTTTTACTGAAGTACGGTTTGGTCCATAGTAGACATTATTTATATTAATAGTTTTATGAATAAATAGGACGTTGAATTAATCTTCTGTGAAATATAGTCTTGGCATTAGTGATAAAACTTGGATTACTAATTTTTTAATACCTTTCCTCTAAGACCAAAAAAAGATGCAGCTATAAGGAAAGACCTTAAGAGGTCGTGACCTCTTAATTTGTAAATGCCACTTATGGAGACAAATGGCCTCATAGTTATGCATTCTGAGCCCTTAGTTATTCATCCATAATCACTACTTATAAAGGATTAGTGGAGTATACGTTTAAGTATACGTTTACCATCTGATTATATAGACTTAAGGAACATTTCTGCTTCAAAACTCCGTCAAATTGTGCCCCCATCAAAAATTATGAAGGCGCAATTTGCGTGATGAACCCCCCTTCTCACCTCTGTCTATGTATTCTTCTAAGTGTATATACCTGTAGATATATGTTTTTTGATTTATTGTTAGTCTCGATTATTACAATCTTGTCATTTAATGCCACTTGGTTACTTTTCTTTAATAGTTTGATTTTAAAATCAATTGTTAAGTAAAGTGGAAAAAGTAAAAATGGAGCTGAATCCTTTAGAATTCAATGTTGCAGAAATATTGAAAACAATATACCATACCTGGCAACCAATACGAAGACTCTTGGCGACCAAGCCCATTGCTCTTCTCACTTACTAATTAATTTAATTACATTAATTATGTTCTGATTGTGTTTTTCATACTGTTTTTCCTTCTTTACTTTCACTTACCTATATATATAATATATAGTAAGTGTAAGTATTACGATCGTGAAAATTTTCGATTCTGAGTTTTCAACGGAAATACACGATTTTAGGTACTCTGAGTCCAAGTCCCGTAAAAATGGTCTGTGTGTGTATGTATGTTAGCAGTCTGTTCAAAAAAAAAAAAAGTTGTACGCAACTGATATTAAGTATTTAAGATAAGTATGCCACTTTATATCAACGCTGAAACACATTTTTACAATTATCTCAAAAACGGTTTTAACGATTTTGATTAAACTCGGTGTATCATTGTATAATGAAGTGGTCTTTAATATCAATCAGATCTAATCCCCGTTGATGTCACATTACACTGGTCTTAACTGTCCAATGTTCATATTCGCCTTCCTCTAAAGTACCTTTAATATGGTTTATTTTAAATAATTAATCATCTCACATTATTTAGAGTTACGAAAAAATGATAAATATAACTTTTGACAGAATTTGACAATTGGATAAAGAAGTAAAATATAAAAATGCTTATCCAGATAAAAAATTAATCTCCGGAAATACTAGTCAGAAGGTATATGCATAATATATTGTTAGAAAGCGGAGAATTTTCGAAAAAAAAAAAGGATATCTAATATAGAAAGTTGTAGAAGGTAACGGAGAGTGGCGAAAATTATGAATAATAATAATTTTTGGAATCTAATAATATTTAACGTAAATCACATGTTTCCAAGCAAATTAAATGAAATTTTCTTACTATGTGTTAACTTTTAAATGTTTTCTAGGATCCAAAAACAAGTATTTAAAATCCATCGAATCAAGGCAATACCATTGTTTAAAAACTATTTCATTGTACTTGTGTGAAAGAAGTGAAATATCAAATCATTCCATGGATGTATAAAGCATATGTTTATAACCTTAAATGCATTTACTATAGTTTAATAATTCTAGATATGATATTATATTTAAACTAGCTTTACCCGGCCACGCGCTGCTGTCAAACTTCCTAAAGTTTCATGGCGATCGGTTGAATGGTTTAGTAATGCACTAAGGACAAACAGACAGACATACATTTATTTATATATATATAGATAGAAGAGAAGATAAAGAGACAGGTGTTAATCCGGTTGCTATGGTTATCAATTCACTGTCTATTGGAATCTTTTTCCCTATCGTTCGCTAAATAGTTCATAACTCCTCAGGATTTTCTTCTAATTCAATGATTCAATAACCGTTGGAAAGCTGAGATGTTGCTCTTCAAAACCATATCAAAAATTATCGCCTCATGAGGAATAAATAAAGAAAATCTCCAAATGCGTTTTAATTTTTTATCTCCACTTCTAATATGCTTGCGGGGGTACGGTTTGTTGCAATTTGTGCAGTTTACGTGGTCGCAAATCCCTGATTTTTTTCGTGTTTATAGGTGGAGCCATTGTTAAGTTATCATACTGTTTGTAGTTTCCGAAATAAAATTGAAGGTCCCACCCTTGACGAAAATTTGAGCCAAAAAAAATTATTTTTCGATTCCAGTGAAAATTGGTATTTGAGGGTTTATCGAGGTGCGAAATACAAATCTCAACTTTGTTTTTCTTTAAAAAAATAATTTAACCCACTTTACTCCTACGGCCGCTAGAAATAGTTTTATTTCCGAGATAATGTTTATCTATTTCGATGATATTTTTTTTATTTTGTCAGCGAATCAGAATCTTTCAAATAAATGTGGGTATTATCAGTCAAAAATTGTGTACTTTTTTAGTTATCGTCAAATAAAATATTGAATTCATCGTAACATTTTTCAGCTTGTTTTCGGGAAAGGTTGTTATACACATAAATTAAAAGGGTTTCAAGGGGAAGACTTTATGCAAGCTTCGTTAAAATCGGTAAAGCCGTTTTGGCGATACAGTTTATAGCGACACATTTTTCTGCGGCTTGGAACAGAAAAACACTTACATTTTTATTTTATTTTTTATATTTTTTACATTTCGTAAAACAGAAGTACTATGCCAGAAACAACTTCCCAAAGTTTCATGGCGATCGGATGAATGGTTTAGTAATGCACTAAGGACAAACAAACAGACAGACAGACATAAATTCATTTTTATATAAATAGATAATTAGGTATCAACCTCCATTTATTCTGAAAAATCGTCATGTTACTTTAAAAAAAATTAAATTAGTGAATAATTTGATGAATTTTCTCTTTGTGATATTCCAACAGTATCCACTTCCAGTTGGTGTGACAAATTTTGACTTGTCTATGGCAGACAATGTAAATCTCTTGATTCTATTTTAGCAAACTTTGCAATGGAAAATAACTATTTAATAACTAATAGTCGTACAATCCATAATCAACGTATCGTACCACCCCTAAGCAACCGATGATATAATAAATAGGACTTTTGCTATTTTAATGGTATTTATGATTTGTTAGCTGTAAGCTTTTAGCTTTATCTCGGTTAAAAATGCAGCTAAAAATGTGTATAGCAGCCCAACTGTATTTTGACAGGACTTGTGAGGAGAAAAGCTGTTTTTGAGAATTTAATGCAAAGTTCAGGATTATTCATAGCAGGATTCAATTTCTATCTCGATTAAATTGACTGATATATTGAAATACATGGTTTTCTAAATCGTTTTATTAGCTTATAATCAGAATAATATCAAAACCGCACAGATATTAAAAATATGTATTGGATTTACATTTAAAATATACCTACATAATTTTTGGAGCGTAGTCACCGAACCTAGATATGACTGGGTAGATGCAGATGACCTGGAGATAAAGGTGAAACTCTCTCCTTAAGATACTTCTGGTCATCTGTTATATAATATGGAAGATCACATGCCATTCTTATGAATATTTGCAGGATTTCAGTCCTGAAATACTTTCATCTCCTGATTTCCTGTACAACTACTTCATGAATTCTAATGTTATACTTATGGTTTAAAGCTGGATATTCACGTGTATACAGTGTGTCCCTTAAATGATGGGAAATATTTAAAGTTCCAATAGCAGGCCTCGGAACCAAGACACTAAGATAAAGATATTTAACGGGTTTATCATGTTTAGAAAATCCACTACCAGGCTACTTCCTGTTCTTTCTTATATGCAAACATGGCAAAAAGCAATATATGCATAATCATCTAATGTTTAAATTGTTCATTAAACAACTAAGATACGTGCTTTACACCACACGATAGAAGTTAAAACATCAAAAAGAGTAGATAAATGATATGAAATATAAATTGTAAATAATAGCTCATTATAAAGAGGATGAAATACTCAACATTTCTCTCGTTTACAGTATGCAGGTCTCATTTTTAGTTTCTGAGATATTTTAATCCATATCTTCCATGAAACTGGTTATCGTTTGGTTTTCGACACTATTTTTTCGTTTTCGCCTGTCTAAAACGGCGTCGCGTTGAGATACAATTTTAAACAATAGCTCATTACAAATTACAAAGTAAATAAAATCTTGAACATTCCCCCGCTTATAGTACGCATGTCCAATTTTTAGTTTTTAATATATTTTAATCTATATGCAAAAACATTCCAGTTAGTCGACTCCAGCCGACTTTACTCGAGCGTTACAAATTGGAAATCTGAAGGTTCAATCTAATCCAATCTCCATAATTGCAAGTGCAAAATGCGCCTAAATAAGTTTTCACTTCATACGTCTTGCTTGTTAAGTTTTCTGGAATTTGTATACTTGATTCTTTCTTGAAATATGTGGTTTATTATTTTTAATTGACCAAGCATGTTGTAAATTTTCTTTAATTCAACCTTAAGTATTAGATACATGTGCAATAGATTTCTATTTTAATGACGATGAGGGTCATTAGCCGTTTGCGTCAGGATACCCAGAAAACAAATTAAACGCAACAAAACAAATGAATTTGTAATTCATTGCTGTCATGATAATTTTAATTTTTTTTTTTTAGTTATGGACAGGATTCGGACCTCTGTTTCATGAAACCGCCAACCGTATTCTACGACACTCTGGTAAAGAGAAGAAGGACCAGCGAACTCCTGTTGCCAATCAGTTGGTTGCCAACACCGGCAACACTAAAGCTGGAGGCATCACATTGACTAGGCCGGCTAGTATTTACAGTCAAGGAAGCGCTGCTAAGTCAACTACCTCCAACGGCAAGCAGCAGCCACCCGTGATCATCACCAGGCAGGTCCTCAGGGCGACCCCGAGCCAGCTGACCAACCAGATTCTGAGGAGTGCGGTGCAGCCGCTTCTCTCCAGCACGGCAAGGCCGATACAGAGGCTCGCCATAGGCTACAGGCAGCCGGACCGGGCCTCCAGCAACCAACGCGAGTACCCTTCCTTGAATAGGATTCCCAAGACTTCCTTCGTCTGCCGGAATTCTGGAAGATCAATGGAACCTGACCCAAGCACGAACTGTCAGGTAAGTACATCCTACTATCCAATAATTTTATCTCATATAAAACTAGTTATTTGGGAAACCCATACCCCAGCATAAATGCTCCATACTTGGATATGTAAAACATATTATAACCTTAAATATATTTATTGTAGTTTAATAACTCTAGATCCAATATTATACTTAAACTAGTTGGCCCGAGCGAAAAATTCGCAAACATTTTTGTTTAGTGAAGAAATAGCAAAACAATGTGGAAATAAGTAGTTCCTATGTAAGGGAGGAATTAAATTTTTTCCTTGATCGATTACAATATTCCATTAAACATAATAGACCAAAATATTTGTATAAATTGTTAGAACCTATTTTTAAACGTTGACTGGAAAGATAATAAAAACAATAAAGACAAAATAATTCCCCGATCATAGGATATTCTAAATTATTAAAAAAAAAAAATGTAAGAACAACCAAATGTCATTTAGAAATAATAAAGTTAATATAAAAACAAGAAAAAAATGTATTACACTATTCTACTCCTAAATGCAATATCTTTAAACAGGAAGACATTATTAATTATACCAAAACTAATGAACTGTATCTTTGTTAATAATTGTCCGATTTCTTTTTTGCTTTGTAGGTAATTTAGTAATCTATTCTAATTATTACAATACAAGAAACAAATGCACACTTTTTGAGTTATGCGCGAATAAAGTTTCTTTTCCTTCATAACTTTTCTCCCAGACATTTCGGGGGAATAGGACGATTTTTCGCATGTGAAGGAGAAGAATATCTTCAAAATGAGTGGTCAATCATTGGATTTGATAAATAATTGACGAAGTTATGACGTACCGACAAAAAAAAAACACCTTTTAGAAATAATATATAGGATAATTAAGTATCTATCTATCATTGGTGTATTCCGAAAAATCTTCATTATTTAGAAAATTAAACTACTGAATAATTTGATGAATTTTCTCTTTGAAATTCCAATATTAACCACTTACAATTAGTGTGACAACTTTTGATCAATCTATGGCAGTCAATGAAAATTTCGTAATTCCATTTTAGTAAAGTTTATAATGGAAAATAAGAGTTTAATAACTAACAGTCCTACAATCCGTAATCATTTATAATATAGATTAAATATAAAAGTGTACTCTCAAATCTCTCGTGACATACCTGCTATGCATATACATAATATGTGGTTTACAAAAACAAATATAATAAATAGGGATTTTATTATTTTAGTAGTATTAATGTGAATTGTTGGCTGTAAGTTTTGAGCTTTAGCTCCGTTAAAAATGCATTTCAAAAATTTTGTAATAGCCAACATTGGCCGAAAATAATTCCTATTCAAAGTAAAGCGTTAAGTGAAAGTTCAGTGATGCGCACACCAGATTGTTTTATTGCTGTCGATAATATTTTACTCAACAATCGAATACGCTGTATAGTATCATACTGTTTTTTAATGATATTTTAAACGATGCACTTAACAACGTTTTGAACTTAATAGTTTAACACAAAAAACCTTGAACTGGATAAATTTTTCAGAAAGAAAAAATATGTCACTTTGACCAATTTTGAGATGAGAGGAGTTTGGAGACCATTATTCATATTCGCACTTTTTAATGCAAAATAAATTCGCGTTCCGGTGTCGGAGGGCTTTTAACTCGGACATCAAACCGCGTCCCTCATCCTCTGGCAAGAAAAAATCCAATATAGTCTAAAAGGCGAGGAATGAGAGGAGAAAAAAAAAAGTTGTAATTATTTAGAGTATCAAGAACACTGTTTGCAGATATTATACCATTATGTTTTGTATTTACTACTGAAGTAGTTTCATGAAGAAATATGCAATTATTTGTTGGATTATTTTGGTAAATTGTTTTTTTCAGTGACTAAACGTCTACTGTAGACGTGCTACAGAACAAAAGGGAAATTGGTGTTACCATATTGGTGTTTTTTTTTTTAGAAGACCAGACAGAATTCAAGTTCCTTAACTTCCTGGAGAACTATCCTCATGAACTAGTCGCACTGAACGGTTCACTGTTTATTCTTTATAAACGAAAGATGTCACCGAATTGAAGGACTTTAGGGGCCTGTATTTACAGAAAAACAAAATTAGTAATTTTGATTCCCAACTGGCCAAACGGTACGTTTGGCTTATTACGGTTTCTTTTGGTTTATTATTTTCAATAATCAACCATTGTGTTCTACCAAAAAATTCAAAAACTTAACCACCTCTCAAAATTTGAGGTTTCACGTTTCAGGATGCGTAGAATTCGAAAAACGAATACAAATTTTTTTGTCCGTCCGCCGTCGGCGCATTTTCTCCGAAACTACTGGACCGGTTATTTTCAAATTCGGATATAAAATCAGAGGTCACCCGAGGATGATCCTCCTTCAACGACACTACGATCCGCTTTTTACTTTCAAAATGGCGGCCGAAAAACCGGGGTTGCTATAGACTGTAGCTCCTAAACGAATGTACCGATTTCTATGAAACTTCGCTAAAGTCATTTTCCGACGTCCTTTAAATTTATCTATATAACATACTTCAACGAAAAGAAGCTGGAAAAAAGTTACGAGGGATGGTAAAATTAAATTCAGATTAACTCAAAAAGTTTACACTTTTTTTGTCGATATTGTGATGTTTCAAAGGTATTTAAATTTCCTAAAAAATGATGGAAGTTTCATTGAAATCAAAGCACTATCAGTAGAGATATGATTTTTTAATAGTTTTTCCGGAATTTCCTAAAAAACAAAAAATAATATCGTTAAAATCGAATAACCGGAGCAAAGATATGGTTTCCAGTTTTTTTTATATTTTCTATTACAAATGTTATATCCTTCGTTTGGTTTTTAAATTTTGAATGTGTTACTGAAGTAATGCTATTTTTTTTTTTTTTTTAGCATATTAGTTATGATTAAAAAAAAATTTTTGTCCAATAATTGGACTTAAAGTATTATTGTTCGTGTCATTACATTTAAAAGGACTTAAGGAATCACTTAAACACCATTTCATATAGATAGTTAGTTTATTTCTTTTTTTCCAAAGTAATTATCGTCATTTTTAAGAAAAAAAAAAAAGATTTCGGGCTGAAGCCCCCCCAAAATTAAATCCTGGATCCGCTAGTGTTTAGATGTATACTTGTTTGGAAATAATATGAAGCGTTTTTTGTATTAAAATAGTTTACTAAATTTTAATATATTTTTTAAAGGTCGTAAAAATAAAGTATCTCTATTTCAGAAGTCCGAGTTTTCTACCATTGCCTATGTTGTTAAGATATTGAGATGTTGAATAAAGAACAAGAAAAAAAGGGACCATACTTAGTTTTTATAAATGAGTAATACAAGTGTAAATTTTTCAAAATCCTTTTTTGAACATTTACTAATATTTATATTGCTAAATCCAGGCATAAGTTGTGCAGAGTTTGATTGATAGCATGTATTTTTTTAAAGATTTGTATCTTTTAAAATATTAGGTCACTAAAGTGTTATATAATTGTAAAAATATCATATTTGTCGTTTCAGAAATAATAGTTCCAATTATAAATTCTACTAATTTTAACGGGCTCCTTTAAACTTTGCACAGCTGTGACATAGCTCTGGTCCAATCCCATCATGTAGCGGGGACCAACCTTTTGATGTTTTAGTTTCGTTTTATTTAGGAACTTTTGCTATCCTCGAAAGTCGTCAAGAAATTTGTGCAACCTAACGTCTACAAGTAAGGAACGGACTAAGTAAAAGAAACAGCGTGAAGATGACACGATGACACGAGAATACAAGAGGTAGTAGAAAGTAAGTGAAGAATGCCGGGACAATAAGATTGCTGAAAGTTCCACGGTGACGATGTGCAGTAAGCAGGTAGATTCCTCCATGTAGCCAAGGCAGATTCCCCCCAGGCTCTGTACTTTCCCGATGTTAAATTTTTCTTCTAAACTTATACAAATTAAAGATTATTTTTCCTTCCTCACTACCGAAGCTAGGGAAGCTATGTATCCGTGCGAGAGGTTAGAAATATTTTTGCTCAGAATGGAAAATTTAACTTGTGTTGTACGTTTGAGACATCAATGACCAAATTTTGTTCGGCGTCTGTCTGTCTGTAGTCAAATCGATGTAACGGGAATATCACCAACTACCGTTCATCCGATTTTCATGAAATTTTCAGAGATTTTGCAGGTTAGTGCCTAGATTATCACACATCAATTTTCTCAAATTCCATCTAGCAATTCCACTTGAGAAAGCGTAAATGTATTTTCTTAGATGTGCCAACATTTCAGAAACGACACGTTCAATTTGGCTTGAAGTTGAAAGAGTGGTGGGATGTGCTAAAATAATGATTCTGTGTCGATTTTATTGAATTCCTTCCTTTACTTTCCCTTATACATGCGCAAACGTGTTTTCCTTGATACGTACGTTTGTTCCGGTTTTGGAGAATGGAGCTTCCTTCCGATAAACCTACATAATTTCATTATTTATTCTGCTTGAATAATTAACTCATGAATGTAAAAAAAGTACTTTCAAAATTAACACTACAGAACTAAATGTTTGGTTACCTTCCAATTTAATAAAATTATAAACGTTTTTCTAAACGGAATCAACATTTTTTGTTTAAATACAATTACTTGCTAAAATACATTTTAAAGTTGGAATCATGATCTCTTCTTTCCTTTTTATTTGCAAACTCCTTTTCGAAATGAATCGACATTAGTTTTATCCATTAGCAATAATGAGGAACCGAAAAGAAGTGAAGAAGAGCCGATACCGACCTGGATTGAGGATGCTCCCAGAGGACGTGACTTGGAAATTGTTCCGACGCGGCTTTCACCGAGGGTGGCGGGGATGCCACGTCCCTACACTTTATTACAGCATTTGCACTAACCGTCTCCTTTCTCTTATCTTCTTCAGATCACTATCTTCGGATCTTATTTTTTTGTAGATCCGGCCGCACATCTACAAGAGCGTCCTTAAACGCTTTCTTTTCCCAAAAGTGAAACAGAAGTGGGCAAAAAATAGTGGAAACAAGA